GATGACGCATGTTGGTCATATTATGCAGTCATGTGACCACTTAGTCATGTGATACTGTTCTTTGAGGCGGTCCAATATTTTGCGTATTTGTTCTGGTCCGTCTCCCAGTCGATGTTCTCGCTTGCTTTGGAAACCTTGTACTCGTTGGTGACTCGGAGCAACAACTCCACCTCATTATCAGTCCACTTGTTGCTTTGTCTTGCCATTTCGCCGCCACGTTTCAAAGAGCCGGAATGTAAATAAACGGCAGAGGGAAACGATGCAGGTCGAGTCGTCTTGCGTTTCACGCATGCGCGGAACTGCAACGTCAGCGTTTTCGGTCGTTTTAGTGCGGATGCGCAACTCTTTGAAAACGACTAAAAACGCTAGTGTGGACGCGGAGCGTTTACAGTCTAAAACGCTGTTTTCAAATCTATCCGGGCTAATGTGGACGTGGCCTAAGCTTAACAAAGAAAAGTTAAACTAAAAGTAAAATATACTAATGGGTTCAAGTTGGACCGCGAGAAGCAAATGATCTATGCGGAGGAGCATGTTGGAGCAGTGTATCATTCTCTGTGCCAAGCCCACATTATCCTAACTGTGAGGAGGCTGTGTGTCTCAACTGACCTTCAGCTCCTAATAGGATTGGCTGATACAGAAGGATTGTTAACCTGAGCCTAATTCCCTTCATAAGGAGCTCTCATCCCGATTTTCTTGCTTTCAATCTAATGAATGAATCCAAGTGTGAAAAAGGAGAGCTGCCAGATGTATTAGAGAGTAAATTGGCTGTCAATAAAAGGCTGGCGTGCAACCACTGAGTGTCAGGACGGCTCATAACACTGCAGAGTCAGGAAACTGAGTCTTTAGGTACACATGTTAGAGGAGGTGACAATCACCAGGCTGCATATTCCTGTCATCAAAAGTGATCTTTTTTCCCCAAGTGTTTGTTAACAGAGCGAGGGATTTCTCCATTTTTAATCATACTTGTTTTCCTTAGAACGAATAAATGATTTCTATTTGGAAACAACAATCAAATTATTCCAGAAAAAATAAAAAATCTTAAAGGTCAATAATATTAGCGCCCAGACAAACTGACCTTTTTATTGCTGTGCTTGTAAAACAAGCTAAAACTAGGCGTTATCTTCCAATTTACACAGTATAAAAACTTCAGCAAGGATTTGAGCTGTCACTTGAAAAAGTATCATTCTAAAAACAAAAGAAGTCAGTTTAGACGAAGCAGGAGATCTAAAGTTATCACAGCATTTCAAGAAGTATTAAGATATTTAAAGAGAGCCATGCAGTACAGAACAAGCCAGGCGGAGGTAGGAAGTGAACAAAACTAGTGAGAGATGTGTCTACTGACCCCAGGACAACTGCCAAGACGATAGTGACGGAGTTAGCCAAGTAGGGACGTGTATTCACAGGACAATCACTAGAAGCCTGCACAGAAATGCACTCCAAGAAAAACTGGCACATTCAAGCCAGACTGAGGCATGCCGAGGACAACCTGAGGAAAGATTGAATGAAACTATTCCCCGTTCTCAGAGTGACGCTGATTACGTCACAAAGCCCTGACTTGAATCCCACTGAAAATCTGTGGGGTGAACTGAAGTCCAAAGTTCATGACAGAAGACCATCAGATCAACCGACTAAAACAACAGACTGCAGAAAAGGAAAAACAACACACAGTGGCTGTTATCATCGGGGGTAGTTAATGTGAAATAATATTGTTTCTGTATACAAAGTAAAGAAAATAACAGTAGGATGTTTGGGAAAGCTTTTGCAAATTCCTTGCCTCTCCAAATTACCCTTAAAAATAGGAATTTTCATAAGGGGGCAAATAATTCTGTCCTCATTTGTATTTTCCACCTGTTTAATATAAAAATCTGTGGTGGGTCTAGTGGCTGGGGGCAAAGGGTGGAAGAGACCCCTATTAAAATATGATTCTATTTTATGCCAGTGTTATAATCTGGATTTATTTTTGATCAAATAGTCGACTTTCGTATTGTTCTCATGGTCTCCTGTTTAATAAATAGTCCAGATAATATAAATGTAATTAAAATATAAACGTTTAAGGATTAAAATACAGAAACCAAACTAAGTTTCATTGGAAACCAAACCAGAGCAAATATATGTGTAAAGATAATCCAAAATAAAGTTGTATACAAACTACAGTTAGTTAGGATTAGTCTGTGAAACAGTGCAAACGCTACAAATATATCAGTTAAAACAAATTCCAAGTGGAAAGGAAGTGTGTTCAAAATGCATGTTTGCATGCACACTGCTTTTTAAAAGGTTAGAGTCGATGGCTGAAGTGTCCTTGGTGGATGTTACCATGTTATACACTTAAAAAGCACAACACATAACACACATACACCTTTACAGACAGGCTTTCATGTTCACGTACACAAAAGAGAACATTTAAACATATAACGAGTTAACGTGTTCACTGCCACAACTACACAAAAAACGTACAAAACATATTTGAACAAAATT